ACCGCCGAACTGCAAGTTAGATCAGCCCAGCAGACTTCAGGGAGGTTGAAAGCCCCAGTATTAGACAACTATTTCCAGCCAGAGTACGAATAAACACAAATACCTCCATGGAGATACTTCCAGCACTTCGATATACCACCACAACTGTAACCTGTGCAGAGTAAGTGCACACACCAGTTGACAGGGCTTCAACAGTTTGATCCGGAGACTAGAAAACACAGATCCTCAACATATCCAGTGTACAGTCCACATAAAGAGCAACGTCCCCACCTTGGCGGCCGACGGAGCGTTCACATATAAGCAGTGCGTAGCCAGGTAGACATACTTCACTGTCTGTGATATCCGGGGACAACCACGTTTCAGTGAAAGAAAGTGTCGGGACGAGGTTTGTTTACAAGTGGACCCACCTCGTGTACCTCGTTCCTTAAACTAGGTGAATTGCTCAGCACTACCCGAAGGAACTCGGCACGACCAGCCCTGGGTCGTACGCTACCAGCAGGTGTTCTGGTAGGGCAGAATTTGACTTCCGGCTGACCACCTGAAAAACCACAAGACAGAGACTTGTTCACCAACCTCCCGCCTGCTCTTGATGCTTTTGATCGCTTCCTTTAACTTCAGTCGAACTGCCAGTTGGCAGTCCGGCTAAATGCTGATATTGTTTGAATGCAAAGCGCATTAACGCTTTGCTTTCCATCGGGGTTGAGAAGACTACACGAGGTAGTCGGAGTAGCGGATTTGGCGTACCTACAGTGACGTTCCCAATCTGATTAGCTTCCTGATAGTGACACTGGGTAAACCAGGTGGAAGCATCTTGTTGACGGAGAGCTAGAACCACTGGATGTCAGCCAGCAAGCTTGCCTTGGGAAGAGCTGCCGCAGATTCAGCAACGTTAGGAAAGATACCGCCACTATCAGTAAAATAATCACCTCGCCGAAGCGTATTTACTCCACGAGTCTTCGACTCGACCTCAGTCTTGACCTTTTAGCAAGTGACGGCGCGTTCTTACGCCAAGGGAACTTAAGTAATTGAGGATGAGGCTTTATGTTCTACCTCCAACTCCCTCACCTGTCTAGTATTTTCAGGCTTTGTGGGTTTTGCAGAAGTCTACACAGCCCGTTTCTTCGCCGAAGGAACTAGGGTGATTGGAGTTGGCGCTTTGTGCTCCACTTCCAATACCTTTATGGTTTCAGTACCTTCAGGCTTTGTGGGAGCGTTACGGACTTTCTTAACCCTCTTCCTCTTGATTTTATTGGGCACAGTGGCTCTAAAATCGGTCTCGCTTTGGACGACGTCCAGTACGAAATCAGAGGCCTCGTTATGGGCATTTTGAGTAGCTGGGGCACACGACACGGTAGCCATAATCTCTGTCAGATCCTCATCGACAGCAGGTGAGGTTGGCTACGTGACTTCCTCCAATGAGCTGACGTCAATGGACCCATTTTCTTCAACAGTAACCACTTTACGATCAAGAGATGTGAGGAAAGACCACAACTGCTGGTTACCCAGCCCGACGTTGCTCGGTGTCTCCTCTGTGACCTCAAGATGCGTAGATCGACGGCTACGGCATAGAAGACAATTGAACAGCATGCTATCGTTAGTTGAGAGCATTGCGTACTGATCAGGGCTCAAATCGGTACAGGTCTCATGGTACCAGCAGTTGCATACATAGCACTGCATGTCACCATACTCGTCCGTCACGGGCCTTAAGCAGCTCATGCTGCCGCATACAGCATTATATTCGCTGATCAACGCAGTTGAAGACACATTAGCGCCGGTATTCATTGAATCCGACATGACACGTTCAAAGACACTGTGTAACAAGAATCAAAAGGTAAAACCAACGAGCTGCTACCTTCAGAGCAGTCAACAGAAACGATTACGGATCAGAACAAGATGCAAAACGAATTATACAACACGAAAGTACCAGAAAATAATCAGAGGCTGAAACCGAAAAAGATGGACAACGTTAGGCAAGTACCCGAGAACGGGTACGAAGTAATCTGGGGAAAACGGTGATCCGAAATTATTTGGATCGACCGAAATTTGACAAAAGCCAGATTGTTTGTACCACACTCTTGTAACCACTGTTCCCAAGCTGTCTTTCGATTGCAAAATCTCAAAAAGACAGCACTCAAAAATTCCAATCTACCATCAAGGAGGAGGAAACCAAAGTTACTGGCTCGGATTGCTTTTCTTGTCGAGGCATTCGACTAGATTCGGACTTAGAACTAACCGAAATATGGATAGACTCCTTTCATAACTGACTGAGCTTTTTGTCAGGTATTTTCTGTAGTCTTTCCACTACAAGTTTAACACGTTTTTCTTTTGACTACCGTACATCTTGCTCGAATTTTTGTGGCATTATTCAACTATCTGGTATTACGATTTAGTAACCGGTTTATTATTGTTTAAGCTTTCTTGGTTTTCTTGTACTTATCATGGGTTCCCAAGTTATTGTCTGTTTGTAGATGGTTCTGATCCCGTGAAACGTGACCCTGATGGAGCTGCACGTTATGGGACGCGTCCCCAGGTTGCGGATCGTGGAATGCCTTCCTCGTGGAGGTAACTGCTTTGCAGGCTAGATGAATAAGCAGTCGCGGACATTCAGCGGCAGCGTCTCAGAGCGTGGGGAGTTCTGGGCTGGTCACCTGGTTCTTCATCAAATGCCACAAGAACTCGTACGGCGTTGTGTCAAAACAAATGTGACCGGCTATAGGGTCACTGACCCCCAGAAGTGAGTACCTAACAGAGGGCGGATGAACAACCTTGTTTGCCACCGGCTTCTCTGTGGACTACTACTGAACACAAGAAGGCGAATGAGCTACCCGGATGTCAACGGTCTTCGTTAATCGTCCCGCTGCCTTGCGGGTCAGGTCTTTATGACCAAAGACTCGGGGTGGGGTCTCTTAAGTCAACCCACTTCCTCGGCCTAGACAACCGGGAAGATCTCTGCCCGCACAACACATCAACCTTGTAAACCATCTAAACCTTTCCACTGTCTACCAGTTTTCCTATTTTTCTTGTTAACTGTGTTGTGGAACTGCCACTTGTATATTGGTCAGGTGTTGAATAAGGAATACTGAAACGGGGCTGTCTCAGTACATCACGGACGGTGGACTACATCTGTCTCGCCACGCACTATTTAGACATAATCGCTTCGTTGGTCGACGAGGCGGGGGCGTTGCGCTTTATGTTAGCTATGAACTTGACGTTTTGCGGACCTACATGTTTCAGTCGATAGACAAAACTGTCGATGCTCTGTCGGTAGGAACAAATCACGGGGTCATTGAAAGTTGCATGTACCTGTTGAAATTAAACATTCTGTTCAATACGCAGCCCAATCCGGCATATTTTACACTTTCTTATCATCATGTAATGTTTGAGTCTGATGAGAATTACCGAAAAGAATTCTCTACTCAGATTCTGCCTCCTTTGATTTATTCTAATTAATGGCAATTTTTGGATTGCTGAGAATCAGCAATCCCCGTGACCTAGTTTTTGCCAATTCACTAGACTTACGGCTCTCTCTTAGGTGCCAGTGATCATGTCTGTTTATCCTTTAGCTGTACTCTGACCAGATGTCACCAGAGCATCGCTGAGCCATATCCAAACATATGGCGTGCTATCAGGTAATGCAAATCAAGAATTCTGGGTTGCGTTGCGAAATCTCGGTGGCGGATACAGTTCCGGCTACCTTGGATAAATTTAAGTCTTATCTCACGGAAGTGTCTACTCCCTACATCCCGCTGGCGACGAGGAGAAGAAGGAGCACGGTCCCCGTGGATAGATACCACTGGCAAGTACCTGCTTCAGAAGCGTTCTAGGCCGTGGAGAACCTACCGTGCGGCTCCATCAATTAGCACCTATTTTAGGTACCGCGAGGCTAGAAATAAATATGAACAACACTTGATTGCTTATTAATCGAGACAAGTGTTCTGTTTTACATATTGGCTCGACTGAATCATTCGGGGCCTACCACATAGGCGGTTCTTTACTCAAAAAGCCACTCATGAGAGAGACTTTCGCATAATCGTGTCTCCCGACCTAAGATCCACTCAGAGCACCTTGAAGAGAGTCGCCGCTGCTTATATGATGTTCCATGTCATTCGAAGAAGCTTCTGCCGCCTGATCCCGGTACTCTGCCGACTACTGTTCACATCGCACGTATGTCCGATCCTTGAATACGGTTTTCTTCCTCCTATCCTCTCACCAAGCTTGTATGTAACATGATTAAGAGGGTCCAACGGCGCGGTTCTAAATCTGTTTTTGAGTTGCGTGACCTACTCTGTCCCCTTCGACTCCAACCTTTGAATCTCTCCTCTCTGGATTACCGCCGCCGCCGTACAGATTTAGTTCGCACTCGACTTATCCTTAGAGGAGAGCTGGGGGAGACCTACAGGAGTTTTCTCATTTCTGCGCTGGAACTGCGACTGGAGGTCATAAATGGAAACTATTCAAACCGAGGAGGCTCCGAGTGCGGACCATTCTTGCCCTGTCCACTTGTGTGGTGAATGACCGCTTGCCTGAGCTGGTCGTTGACGCACTAATGGAGGGATGTTTCAAAGCAATGCTGGATTCTTACTGCATTTGCCGGGATCTTGATACTTCCATTGCGACTTTGACGGCCCTATGTGGATCTCCGTCTCGCTATGACCAACCCATCTTTGCTATAAATGGAAAGTGATGGAGCTAACAAAGGATTTCCTTTCTGCTCTCTATTATCCAATCCAGGTCCCTCGTGTTCGGTGTTCCATCAGCTCCTGTGACAGTGCACTCCAGCTCGCCACATGGTGTAACACCGACACCTTCCATCCTGCTCTTACTCTTACTAGGCAGTTGAGAGGTAACTGCCTAGCCACCTACGAAGTATCTCTTTTGCATTGCAGCCCCCTCGGTCTAATACGACCCACGTACACCCAGGACACGGAAACTCTCGGAACTCTCAAGCGGACACGTATTACAGTCGCACCTGAGACAGTCAGTCTCCAACTGACTTACTCATGATTGAGGAAGAATTCATCAGCTGCAGGGATTCTAAAGTGTAAGCTGCGTCCACCGTTTTTTAAATGAAAATCAGCCTATTTTGTGTACTTAATTTGTTTTGACCGGTTCTGTTGCGTTCATTGCCTACTGTCTTTCATCTGTGACATGCAGGTAGGCCGGTCTGTTCAGGAGTTGGATTTTTTGCAGCAGAGCAAAAGTTGGGAAAATGCGCGCACAGCGAATCAGTAAACAAAGAACTTTGGTTAAGTTTCGGAATTCAGTCTTGCTTCACTACAAACCCCAGGATTAGAATGTTTTTTGCACATAATTGTAAGCTATTATTAGGTTCGCTGAATACTGAATACTCAGAATAGAAAGCGAGAAAATAAAAATCGTTGTCGCTCCATCGTAGCTGGATCGGCCACATGCGCGGAATCGCGTCGCTGATTCCTACGCGGTGGCAGTATATTGCAGCTGCCCAACATCTTATCCGGGTGCGATACACTCCCTATACCTGTAGTCCGCGTCAAGGAATCTCTTAAATTCCCACACCGATTTCGCCTCGACCAGCGTTTCCGGCAATTTGTTCCACTATTTCACCACTCGACGCTCGTAGCATAGACGATGAACGATGTGCTTTAAATCCGGCATCACTAATTTGTACCGGTGTCCGCGTGTGCTCTTGGTGCGCGAATGTGCAGCAGCGGCTTGAATATAGGGAAGTGGCCCAGGTACAGTATCCGGTGCGTCATAAGGAGATGAACTCAGAGCCGACGATATGACGGGGTATAAAGCCCTAGTCTCGGTCCCCGTACGACATACTCCGTAAACTAAGGATGAGCCGGGTAGCTACATGCTGGACTCGTTCCAGTCCCTGCACCTCACCTATTGTGATCGGGAAATAGGCGAGTGAGTCGTACTTAAGCACCGGTCTTATTATGGAAGAGAACAGACGGGTGGCAGTCTCTTCAGACCAAATGCTGTGTTGGTTTGCTGCAACAATTGGTATATAACTATTTATCTACCCGTCCCTTTTCTTATTACAGCGCTTGATCAAATAATATGCGCCACGTGACTAATGGGAAAACGGTCTGTGGCACAATTCTCCACTACTTCATGCCTAGGAGGAAGTGTCTGGACGGTACCCCCCTACCGAACCATGTAGGCCAGATACGCAGCAGCAAATTCCAATTTACCTGCATGGAACCAGACTACGTCCTGATACTTCTGGATTCGTCTTTCCTTAGTCCTCGCAGGATACTCAGCTTGCGCGCGACTGGTGGTGGTCGCGAAGCGCCGTTACAGCTTACGGCTGACATTATTAGTATTTAGTCCATACCTTCGTTATTGCTTCTCTGTCTTGTGGAAGCTGAAACACTTCTTATTAAGTTACACTCCTTCCCGGTACTATTGCCGCCTAACAATAAAAATGATGCTGCGTTTATCAGAAACTTACCGTTCACATTTGGACTTGTTCCTGCCACTTGTCGCAAGTTGTTGCAGGGTTTCGTGGATTTTGCGTTACCTTGAATTTTGGAGGTTCAGTTGAATCACTTCTGTTGGTTGTATATCATCCACGCACCTCACCATTTCTTTTCCATCCGAAGACCATTGCTTATGTACGGCTCACCCGTCTATTATCTCATCACATTTGGCGAGGTGCACAGAGTAAAACATGTTCGGCATGTAGCTGCCCAGCCTCCCCCCATCATTTAGCGGGGTATGTACGAAGACCGATGCAAGAGACCAGGCCCTATCGTATCGTAGGTTCTGAGTAGACCACATCATGTTGCATCTGATGTTACACCTGGATAACTTTTCTATGCTAAGAAATTTCTAGACACCTACTTTGCGTACTGTAGCTTTCGAGAGCGCAATGCATCTGAACAGAATGTCGTACTATTAAACTATGTTGACAGTATGCGGTAATAGATGTCGTTATTCCGCGTGTGTGTTCGACAATATATCCATGAAACTACACAGATGTATATCATCTAGTTCTCTATTTTCACTATTAAGTATTCACCTCACCACAAACAATGCATAGACGTAGTACGTAGCATCCGTTTCAATAGGTACATGGGTAAATGCTATGATCGTCGGATTTAAATGTTAAGAACAAGAAAACGACTACAAGAGCGACACCGAACTAAACATTAATTTTCCCCCCTCTCTTCAGACACTTTTGCCATTATCACCGCGTGGCCATCTCCAGATTTCACCCAATCGTGCTCTTCCTTAGCATACGTGCAAACCATATGACCCAGCGTGCCTCGCGTTGTCGAGAATAAACAATTTCTTTGTTAAGTGATTTGATTGTATCAGAAATCTAGCAGTGACTGGGTGTTCTTTTTTTGTCGATCACATAATATCGAAAATCGAAGCTTCACACACTCTATTCAGTCTGAAGCCTTTACCTGCATTTCAATCGATCTTTGGTTTGCTCTCACGCGGTTTTTACTTCTCTGGCCAATCGACTTCGATTTTACTTAATCTTGGACTAGTCTCAATTTTCTATTCAACTTATACTTCCGACCGGGCAATTTGGCTGTCACCTACTAGTAAAGTGTATGAGATGCCATATTTTGAACGAATAAGTCGATGTCAGAGGAATGCGGTATCCATTGGGAATGGTCAGTAAACATCTTTCTCACTCTCCTTTGAGCCTTGATGTCAGCTTAAATCGCTTGGACTCGAAGACCTTTTTCGTGTCATTGAAGGAGATTAAAAACAGTTACTTACATTCAACAATTTGAATACCACGGAAAGAAGACGAAACCTGGCAAATAGTTGTTTTTCATATCGTCTCCTCAGTATCATTAACCCTAACCGAAATAGATATAGATAACATTGAGTGCGACCAAACAAGCTTCCATGTTTGCATAGACCGCTGGTTTCATCGATAGGCAACTACTTCCTATTCTTGAGCTGTGCTCGGCGTTCAAACTTGTGTTAAGTCATTGCAGCTTCTTTCGGTTTACTGAGTGTGTCTCAACCATCTGGATGAAGCTAGCCTTCTTCATTCAAAAACAATTATTTTTCAGAGCTGGGGTGGAATTTGGAGACTAGTGGTAACGGCTGACGCATTGATTACTGTGCCACAGATCCGTGAGCAACGCTTGGCACATTGGTAAAGAATTTTTGAATTACTTGTTAACTTAAGGCTACTGTGAAGGTAGACATGAACTCCCATCATTCACTCTGCAGCTAAAGCTTATTTCGTCCCTATGCATATTTGTTATAGCTAATGGTACTGAGCGGACTACGAAATGCATGCATTTACTAGCTTTCATATCTTTCCCTACTTCTCAAATTGCAGGTTGTTAGGCCAAAATTAAAGCCGAAAACAGAGCTGTGTGGTAAGATGGTTATTCGCTTAAACGGCAAGTAACAATGTACACCAAAAAGAGCATAAGGCCTTCGAGTCATATGAACACAGAAGCACGTTACTAATCAATGGTTGTGTCAGACGGCCGATAGCCGTAGTACACACACACGCGCACACGTACGCCAGGCGCATCACTCCTCCCATCTGTGGTTTGAGCTATCCGGCCTGGAACCGATTCATTGGTCGTCGTTAGCGCGTAGATCGACGTCGAGTCACTTAGTTCGGTTCAGCATCGGCCACTTGTGAATTGATCAGCTCCGGTGTCTGGATTTCTGACTCACCGGTTGTTGCTAAGGTTGATGGTCTCGGTCGCACATAATCTAAGTGGCGTCTGACAATCCTGCCATCCTCAGTTTTTGCTTCAATGATTTGCCCTTTGGCTGTTTTAACAATGACCGGTTGCCACCCGGAATCTGTAGGTAAACGGACATAGATGGGATCAGATTCTTCTACGAGTCTGTCTCTGCTGCCGGTGTCAGAGCGTTGCTTTGCGGGTTCTTGCTTTTCGCAAATCTCCGTACCAAGGATGCCGTATAATAAATCCAACCGTGTACGCAATCGACAGCCGAACATTAATTCCGCTGGGCTTCAACCGGTGGCTTCGTTTGTCATGGTTCGATAAGCGAAAAGAGCACGGTCTAAACGAACACGCAGTGGGGCTGCTGGTTGCTTCAGTAACATATCCATCGCTGCCTGCACAGCTCTCTCACCCAAACCGTTTGGTGATAGGTGATATGGCGCAGTATTTACTTGTCTAATGCCATTTGAGGTAAAGAAGGCAGCAATTCGGCACTAGTGAATGCTGTTGCATTATCGGACACTAGGGTTTCCGGGAGACTATTGCGTTAGCTGAATTTGCTGTAGTCAGAACGTGGGCAACGATCCACTGGGAATGGGCACCAATGATCAACAAGATCATCTGACCTTCGAAAGGGTCAAAATAGTCTACGTGAATACGTTTCCATGGTGCTTCCGGCCACTTCTATGACTACATTGACACGTGGTACAGCGTTCCGGTTCTGCTGACAATACACGCAACTCCCAACTTTCGACGCAGTCACTGTGTAAATCAGGCCACCACACATAAAAACGGGCTTGCGACTTCATTTTAATGACTCCAGGATGTGCATCATGCAGTTCATCTAGGATAACTGCTCGCAGCTTTTTGGGACTACCATCCGGGCTCACCACAGTACACCTGTTATGGGGACTGAGTTCGGTCAGTCTGTTACGAAAAGGCGTGAGTTCCTTGGTCATATTTTCGGGCCACCCGACCTGAACGTAGCGTTTCACGAAGGCTAAAATAGGGTCTCTATCGGTTTATCGGCGTACGTCTGCTGAGGTAACGGGCGAGTTAAGGTGTTGGATCAGATTCACGAGTTCCTGTGGGGCATATTCTTCCCAAGTTATTTCCTGTAAGGGGAGCCGACAGATGGCATCAACAATGGTATTTTGCCGGTCAGGGATGTATTGAATTTAATATGTATATGCAGAGAGAATCAAAGCCCAACGGACCATTCTGGGTGAGGCCATTTGCTGAATCCTTTTTTCATGGCCGAAAAGTGATACAAGAGGTTCATGATCTGTGTAAATCACAAAAGGTCGACCGAGTAGGTATTGATGAAACCGAATAGTACCGGAAGCAACCGCGGCTGCCCCTGCTGCCGTCA